ATATATATAATTTTTAGGGGCGGAAGGGGGGGGTACATTTCTGCGAGTTTCTCCGAGCCCTGGTAGATGAAAGAGATGTCTATCTGGTGTTGAAGGGGGTCATTTTTGGAATTGGAAGGGGCTCCATCTTCTTTGAGGGTGCCTCGGAGCCTTTTGCTGTCCCTTGTTGCTTGAATTTAATTTTTTTTAAGTTTGTCCGTCTCCCCGCCCTCCCCCTTTCCACCCTCTTTTTTCCACTGACAGGGACGCCTAAGGCATAATTAATTTATGTCCTGCCTGTCATACATTTTCCCCTCGCTTTCAACGTCTTCTTTGTCGCTGTAGGGAAAGGGGGCTGTTTAAAATAGAAAACGATATTGTTAGTGTGTGTTTTTGTTGTTGTTTTGTTTGGTGTGTGGTTGGGTTTTTTGTGCGTTTTTATTAAGGGGGAAAGGGGGAGGGGTGGGATTGATCAGCTTTGAAACGGACTACCGTGGCGTCTAAATGATATAAATTATGCAGATGAGGATGTAAAAACACCTACATTAAAAAAAAAAGAAGACTACAACCTTTGATTTGACTGCCTTCCATGTCACTAGACTGTTCAGAGAAGAGGAAAGTGAGGCGGACTTTAAAAGTGAATAAATACTGTCGAAACTGGCTAAGGCGGCCTCCCATTGTCTTAGACTGGTGCCCGTCTTAACAGTGTCCTTATAACTGAGTTATGAATTGAGCAGTGGCCCTTCGTACAGTTGAATGTCTTATACAGGTGGATGTTAGAGCAGGTTCAACTGTAAATTCAGGTGTGGGTATGGGGGGTGGGTCACCACCTACTGTCTATACAGAGTGGGTGGTTGGCGGGTGTTCTGGTGTGGTGTGCTTCTTCTTTCCTATGATCTATCGTTTTTATCTCCCCTCCTTCTTTTTTGTGTTTGTTACTCCCTTGTAACACCTCTAATCTTCTGGCGCTCATATTAGGACCTTATGCTGTTGCGAGCGCCGTAAAACCCCTACTAAAACTAAAACTGTCGAAACAGAGGACGTTGGGGTGGGTGATCATCTGAAATATTATAAACTTCCGTGGCCCTGACAGAAGCCCCCGCAGAGCCCCAGAAGACTGGTACTGTGAGAGAGTTGTTTTTGTTTTTGTTGTGGGCGGGGTGT